TAATCAGTTGTGAACAGATTGCTTTTAATCTTGTTTTAGTGAGATAAAGAGCTCTTTCTCCTTCTCAACATGATTTTGGTCATGTAGAAAAAGCCTATTAGTTGTTTCCTTTCCTCATCAATGTTATCTGAACTTCATAGGATTAGGAAGCTATGAAGAGTGAAAAATAGTTATTGCTAATCCAAGACAGTGTGAAACAAATGTTGGTTATCTTCCATACTAGTAAAAGAATGCAGAAAATGATTAGAAAAAAAATGGGTTTCAAATTATGTCCAACTGTTTGTTATTATCAATTTCATAACAGATCCTATTGTTCTTCAATTTCTTTCTCTTTCCATCAATATTTCCAAAGTTAAGTAAATCCCACTTTTGGGAATTGCTAAAAGAACTTGGACTGACTCAAGAATTTATACAATATCATCAATGGGTAAAATCAGGCATTTTATAGAATGCCTACGAAATCTATAGAATGCCAAAAAAAAAAAAAATGGGACATGAAAGTATGAACCACTTAATATTTCCACACATTTCCTTGGCATTCTATACAATGCCAAAAGACAAACTGGCAAAGTATAAAATACTCTGACTAAAATGCCATTCTAGCCTTCCTTGTTGCAACAAGCAGGTCAATACTGGTCTTTTTATGTTGCTGTTGTTTTTCAATAAGAAAGTCCTGTACTTTATTTTGCAGTTCTTCTTTCCTTTTCATTTTTTTTTTCAATAAAGAGTTAGGGGGAGAGTTAACCCTAACCCTCACCTGTCCCTTTTTCATGACTCTCTTTTCATACTTTGCCTAAACAGTTCTTGTCATTCTGCCTAATGCCTAGGTATTATATTTATACAATGCCTAGGGAAAGTGTATAACATATTAAAATATCACAGACATTTCATGCTTTGCCTAAATGTCACACATTCTATACATTTTTTAAGCATTCTAGGCAATGCAAACTTTTCACATATTGCCGGTAACATATATAAAAATGCACTGAAGAATTATGCACGATGACAGCATGATTACTCTGTGATCTTACCATCCCGTCTGATGAGTTTCGCAAAGCTGGGGATGTGGTTATTGGAGAGTTTGGACGAGCTGTCAAAAGCAGATGCAGGTAATGACAGTATCAGTGGCTCTTCACAATTATCTACAAAACAAGAAAAAAATATATAGAAAGCATGAAATATAATGGGGAAAAAGTTTTGGCTTATCGGGATCATTTCACACACACATGGGGATGGGGTATCTTATCTCTGCACCTGCTCCTTCCTAATTAATGAATTACCTTAAAAGAAATAAGGTTGATAATAAAATTCTCTGCGAAAATATGCATGATACTATATCTATATATACACATATAATATTTTCTTCAACAGCTTTCAACAGATGTGGTGTAAAATATCCCACTTTATCTCAAAAAGAATATAGACTTGTGGGTCTAGCCTCCTAAGATTATGTTGCGAAGGAAGAGTCAAATTTATGAAATCAGAAAAGTGTGCAGGTGGGTCTTTTAGGCAGGTGGGTGCTACAAAGGTCACCATGCCTTCTATAAGTTCCTTGGGAGAAAAAGCAGTGGGAACAACTTGTAGGAGTGGCTTATTACCTGCCCCCTGGAGCCCTGAGATCAAACACAATATATATCTAATGCAGCCCTCAATGAAAGTTTGCCATCCTTGTGCTAGAGGTTCAGATAGATTATTTCATTTTGCAATTCATAATGAACAATACCTTGCCTCTCACTCTCAATACCCCGACTCTGTACAGAAAAATAGTATGATTGAAACCAATAACACCCTAGTTAACATAGAAAAAAAGCACTGGCCCACTCCCACAGTTGTTCCCTGCTGCTGCCTAAATGATCATGTCCTCCATCCATCCATCCAATGTTCCCTCTAAGCTGCGTGGCTGCACCACTGTGCATGTGGCATTGAAACACCATGCACCAGTTTCCAACTGCTGCGCAGTGGTTTTTGTGAGACATCTTCCATGATAATAGGAGAGGACAGCCAGCCCGGAGACAGTTCTAGGTCCACGAAGCAGAAAGTAGCTGAGAGAAGGGGGTGCGGGGGTTGGGAGAAGGCATGGGACAGGCTCCCAGCAGCGGCTGCTCGGATTTGCCATGAGAACTCGTCTCTCCTGCCTCTTTGCTTCCTCGTTCGGTCATTGGGCGGCAGATCGAAAGCAGGAGCCAAGATGGGTCATTCCTTCTGAGAGGCAACTTTCCCATTGAATGACTTGCTGCCCTAGACTCGAGGAGACTCTCTGCAGTCCCTCTCGCCTGGCTGGGATGCCAGTTAGCGTGTTGAGCTGAAGGAAGGAAGGATACACGTGCTCACTCTCATGAGAGAGAGAGAGAGAGTTGGTGGGCAGACTTAGCACTTTGTTAAGTTTGTTTCTCTATGTGTTGTGTATATATACATGTCTCCATGGGTGCAATTGTGCAAGCAATTTTTTCCTCTTTAAAAGAATTTTTTGATTTCTCCTCACCAAATCGTTAAGACTAAAAGAGTTAGAGTTGAAATATAAAGAGATTGTCGATCGCCATAATGTTAGATTGATAGGCAATTATGGACTATCTTGATTATATCCCCTTAGAAAAAAATACACTACTGTAGGGTTGAGAAAAAGATCAAATTTCATTCCATGGAAACCCAACAAAGTTCTTAGGGAGGTTTTCTTTCTACCATGGGCTTCTTGGGTCAACAGTGAATTTCAGTTTTCTNCGAAATGTGAAGTGCTGTGTTTGGCAACCTGTTAGAAATAAACTGTTAGCTGACTTGAAGTCCTGGCTCGCCTCCGTTTGTCTGACTGCGTTCTCCCAGCTAGAACATTGGCGACGAGGATGGGATTCCTCTGAGGCTGAGCCCAGGCAGAGCTGAGGAAGTCACTAATCGAAGAGCGAAGTCACTAGAGCTGAATTCCCTCAGGGGAATCGCTCAACGAGACGTTGAGCGAGTCACTTCTACTACGAAGACCGATTTGGGGTTAAGCCAAAGAGGAGAAAAGTTACCTCAGAATGGCTTCAATGAATACATTAGCCAGTTTTAACCCGCCCACGCAGACTTGGGACACTTATATTTCCTGATTTGATTGTTTTTTAGAAGCCAACGGCTTTACTAACCTAACTGAACAGAGAAAAATCATGTTTTTTAAATCTGTGTAGCACGGAGATGTTTAACCTTGCGGAATCGCTAGTGGCTCCGCACTCCGTCCGCGATGTGACATGGGATGTTTTGGTGACAAAGTTAAAAAATCATTATGCCTCATAACTTTCTCGCACTTCATGCCGGTTTGCCTTTTACAGAAGGTTTCAGCGTGAGGGAGAGACAATTAATGAGTATGTGGCTGCCTTAAGAGCTGCGGCCCTCCATTGTCGTTTTAAAGATTTGGATGAGTCCATTACAGATCAGCTTGTAGGGGGGGTTAGAGGCCTCCGTATTCAGCGCCATCTACTGGCCAAACCTGAGTTAGATTTACAAACCGCTTTAGATGAAGCCAAGGCAGTAGAGCTGTCAACAAAATCCACAGAAGAGATGCAGAGGTTCTGTAGACCACAAGCCAGAGAAAAAGCCACAGAGGTGCATCATGAAGACATTTTCCCTGATGAAGGGGCTATTGGAAATGATGAAGTACATCGCCTGAAGGCGGAACAGGCCAGAGGTCGACAGGGTAACGTTTTGGACCAGTTGAGCAGAGCGAAGGAAAAGCAGGAGCTGCGATTTTGGTGTAGGTGGGAGGGCACTAGGGAGACAACGGAGAGGGCCCCACAAGTTTTAAATTGTCTAAGCCCAAAATTGCAAGTCTGGTGGCATCAGAGATTCTGTGCGAGCAGAGGAGTGGAGGACTCTTCTCGTGAAATATCTCGGGAGACGCTCAATTGCATTACTGTCTTGTTCTAGCTGGGAGAACGCGGTCAGTCAAACGGAGGTGAGCCAGGACTTCAAGTCAGCTAACAATTTATTTCTAACAGGTTGCCAAACGCGGCACTTCACATTTCGCACGTTTTAGCTAACTGGCAATAGCTGAGCTGTGGTGGGTTTCAAAAAAATTTGGAACCTCTTCTGTAGGTGTGGCCTGCTTTCCGGGTCCACTGGTGGAACCTCTTCTAACCGGTTCGGTAGATTTGACGAACTGGTTCTACCGAACTGGTGCGAACTGGTAGGAACCCACCTTTGAGCGACACCTTCTCTTTAATTATTCCA